GGGTGGCTCAGTGGCTTGAGCCTCTGCCTTTGGCTCAGGTCATGATCTCAGGGTCCTGGGATTGAGCCCCACATCAGGCTCTCTGCTCAGCAGGGAGCCTGACCACCCCCCGCCTGCCTCTCTGCCTACTTGTGATCTCTGTCTGTTAAATAAATAAATAAAATCTTTAAAAAAAAAAAAGAGATGGTGATATTAATAAAGGTCTGAAAACACTAAACAATACTTCATTCACATACATTTAAAACAAGCTAGAAGGATTTATCAGGTCCGTGATGGTGATTACCTCTGGGGAAGGGAAGAGGGAATTAAGTGGGTCAGGTGGTAAACACTTTGATTGAAGCAAATATGACCATTAATGTTAATTCACAGAAGTTAATTATACATATAGAAATATTAGTGTTTATCTTTTCATACCTTTTAAATTTTTTCCATTTCTTAAAAAAAAAAAAACCTTTAACAACTCCAATGGCTGCATAATATTTGATTGCACAGATAGGTCATAAGACACTGACCAATAAACCTGCCAATATTTTAAGGAACACTATAAAAACATCTTTGAAGGGTGCCTGAGTGGTTCAGGTGGTTAAGCATCTTTTTTTTTTTTTTTAAAGATTTTATTTATTTATTTGAGAAAGAGGCGGGGGGAGAATATAGGGGTAGAAGCAGATTCCCTGCTGAGCACAGAGCCGATGTGTGGCTTGATCCCACGACCTGAGATCATTACCTGAGCCGAAGGGAGGCTTTTAACTGACTGAGCCACCCAGGTATCCCAAGCATCTGACTCTATTTCGGCTCAGGTTGTGATCTCAGGCTCATGAGATCTAGCCCCAAGACTGGCTCCGTGCCAGGTGTGGAGCCTGCTTAAGATTCTCTCTCTCCCAAGGGGAACCCTCCTACACTGTTGGTGGGAATGCAACCTGGGGCAACCGGTCTGGAAAACAGCATGGAGGTTCCTCAAAAAGTTGAAAATAGAGCTACCCTACAACCCAGCAATCACACTACTGGGTATTTACCCTAAAGATACAAATGTAGTGATCCAAAGGGACACATGCACCCGAATGTTTATAGCAGCAATGTCCACAACAGCCAAATGATGGAAAGAACCTAGATGTCCATCAACAGATGAATGGATAGAGAAGAAGTATATATATATAAGAAGTATATATATATATATATATACACATATATGTATATATATATGTATATATACATATATACATATATATATAGCAGGATCATAAAGGAAATGAAGTGTATGCTTCATTACAAACTTGTACACAATATCCCATAAAACAGCAAAAAACCCCCACCATTAATAGTTTTCATTGTTTCTTTTGCCTATTTTCCCCATAATTTCAGGCATATATATATAATATATATATATATATACATACATACATACATACATACACACACAATGGAATACTATGCAGCCATCAAAAGAAATGAAATCTTGCCATTTGCGACGATGTGGATGGAACTAGAGGGTTATCATGCTTAGCGAAGTAAGTCAATCAGAGAAAGACAACTATCATATGATCTCCCTGATATGAGGAAGTTCAGAGGGAACATAGGGGGTTTGGGGGGTAGGAAAAGAATAAATGAAACAAGATGGGATCAGGAGGGAGACAAACCATAAGAGACTCTTAATCTCACAAAACAAACTGAGGGGTGCCGGGGGTAGGGAGAGGGTGGTTGGGTTATGGACATTGGGGAGGGTATGTGCTATGGTGAGTGCTGTGAAGTGTGTAAACCTGGCAATTCACAGACCTGTACCCTGGGGCTACTATGTTAATGCATTATATGTTAATAAAAATAAATATTATACAATATATGTTAATAAAAAAATTAAAAAGCACATTATACATAATACATTATATGTTAATAATACATTATATTACATTATACGTAATGTATAATACACATATAATACATATGTTAATAAAATTATGTTAATAAAAATACATTATGTTAATAAAAATTTAAAAAATTTTAAAAAGTAAAAAAAAAAGTTCTCTCTCTCCCTCTTCCTCTGCTAGAGCTCTCTCTCTAAATAAATAAAATCTTTAAAAAAAAATTTATTTATTTATTTTGAAAGAGAGAGAGACAGCGAGACAGGGAACACAAGCAGGAGTGGGCCTCCCACTGCGCAGAGAGCCTGATGCAGGGCTTGATCCCAAGACCCTGGAACCATGACACAAGCCAAACGCAAAGGCTTAATGACTGAACCACCCAGGTGCCCCCAAATAAATAAAGTCTAAATAAATAAATAAATAAAACCCAAAACCTCCCAAAAAACAAAAATTTCCACATCTTTATAGTTGTTTTTGTAGATAATTTTTTTTTCCTTAGAATAAATTCCTAGAAACAAAACTGCTAGATCAGTTCTAGGACTCTGTTACATACAATCCCTTCCAGAAAAGTTGTAAAAACTTACATCTACCTATCACCAAAATATCTACCTGCCTATTTCCTTGTATTCTTGCCAATCTGGATACTAAAATCCAAAAACCTGTCTTTACCAAGTTAGGTATATGAGCAAGGATCTAAATTTTCCCCAAATGATTAGTTATACCATAGATCATACCATAATTATTGAACTATATAGATATATATCAGCATCATAAAGGAAATGAAGTGTATGCTTCATTACAAACTTGTACACAATATCCCATAAAACAGCAAAAAAAAAATACCATTAATAGTTTTCATTGTTTCTTTTGCCTATTTTCCCCATAATTTCAGGCAGAACATAATTACAGAAAAGGTTTTACTTTAAAGGGAAGACTATTCAGATTTACTACTCAGAACTAGACTGATGTATTTTGCTGAAGTAGTTATATTTTAAAAGATTTAGTCATAAAGTAAGACAACTTAAAAAGGTTTTCTATTTTGAAGTCTGCAAAGAAAAGCCCTTTAGCTTCTTGGTCTAATTATACTGGTGTTTAATTAGCATCTAAAAATGTCTACAATGATAGAATTTGGCCAGTGACAAATATCCTAAGCTTCCATAGCCCTTTTCACCTCTCACCGTAGATTAACTCGGTTACGAACTACTAATAATTAGTATTCACACAGTACTTTGTTTACTACAACATCATAAAGCAGAGCAAAATAATTATTACCATATTAACAAAGGAAGATGCCAAACCAGTTAGGTGAGTTATCTGAGGTCACGCTAAAGCAGGAATTTGCCAAAATTAGACACTGAAATTCTTGTAGCCTAATTCCCATATGCCTTATCACTCAAAAGAACAACTTATGATAATTATGACAACTCATAAAGAAACCTAGAATATACCAGAGTCAGAGAATCACATTATTAAAATTATATTGAAGATCATCTCCTGAAACATCCTCACTTTATAGAGAAGGAAACTGAGGCCCCCAAAGGTAATATACTTAACTGCTCAAAGCCTTCTAGAAGCTGTAAAGCAACAATGAAAATTCAGCACTCCTCTATCCACGCTCAGCGATCTTCAATTACAAGAGTGTAACAGCCATCCTTCACTGCTTCTTCAAATTTTTTAGTTTATAAAACTGTCTCAATGTTTTCACTGATACTGAACATTTCACTCACAATTAACAAATAATTACCCAGTACCTACCACATGCCAGGTCCTGTACTTTGTGCTAAATGAGTATTATGTGCTAAGCACTGCATCACTTGCATGTCCACATTTGATCCCCACAATATTATTATAAGGTAAGCACGATTATCTCTATTTTAAAGATTAAAATTTAGAAAGACTAAGTAATCTGCCTGTGGTCTTCAGTAAGGAAATAAAAAGTAAAGGTGCTGCAGCTGAAGGTTAGCAGCCATGGCTCTGCGGACCCCCACGGTCATGCACCTCAACCAGGGCCACAGGGTGACTGAGAACATGACACCAAGCCAAGGCAGTGATGCAGGACAAGCTTTTGACAGACACCCCAGTAGGTGGAGCTGAGCAGTGCTCTGGCTGCCACCACGATAGAACAGTGGTCGCTAAGGGCTGGACCCCCTCCCCATTCTATGCAAAATACAATGTTTACAAGGGGGGGAAAAAAAGGAAGTGGTATAATCACTTTAAGTTTATGCCAACAAAAAAATCTTATTTTTATTTTAAATAGTATAACTCTGTATATGATTTCACTTGAAAAGAGGGATCTACTGTCAGAGAAGCCTGGAAAACCACAGATTTTGGTAGCACCGTACGTAGCACCGAAGAGTGACTGCACAACGTAGAGGTTGCGGGTCCCTTTTGGAAGCCTTTAAATATCCTTTTCTGCTTACACCTTCCAAGATCCCAGAACAGACAGCATTTGCAGTAATTTAACTAAAGGCTGATTTCGAGAAAAGTAATCATTCAAATAAACAGACAACAGGAAGGGCTTCCAGTACCACACAATAAATTTGGCCTAAAGGGTAGTCAGTAAGGTCCAAAGTAGAAGAATGCATGACTTCTCTTAAGCAATACTCATGAACAGTACTACAATACATTACTGGTTACCTACTTTCAGAGTGTAAAATCTCTGTAGTATAAGATCACATTAATTAAAAGTTTCATTTGCTGTCGTTCCCAGCTGGAATTCCTTTATCTTTGATTGCTAAATAGATTTCACAAGGTCCACAGCCAAAAACCCAAGTGGTAACAAGCAGTTCTACTATTACGGAGATTTAAAAGTAAGCTTTCTAAATAAATAAATGTCTAAGGATATTCCTAACGCAGCAACTGTTCTAGGGCCAACCTGTAAGGAAAGGAGAACCTTGAGGGGAGAAAAAAGACTGGAGCGTAAAAAATGTTTTAAGGAGAGTATTAAAAAGTGGTCTACTGCTTTGGGAAATTTTTGTGTAAGAGAGACAAATCAAGGCAACCACGAAAAATTCTACCTTTCCCCATTATGCAGTGTTGTTTTTATTCTCGCCATAATTTTGGTGACATAAAATCAGATGACACTCTAGTAAGTAATCAACCACAGCAGAATTAATCACATGCAGTATTTCTAATGTAAATGATTACCTGAGAAGTCTGTGAGAAGTCTTGCTAGGACTTGCTTGTTTACCACTTCAGTCTTACTAGTATCTACCCTAGTGGTTTCTTTGCTAATTGTGGGCTTCTTGGAAATCCCAAGATCAGATCCAGCATTAACTTCTGTGTGTTCTAGGACATCAGACGATCTCTGAAGCCAAGAAGATTCTGGATCACGTGTGAAAATCTGCTTGGATACTTCTTCAGGAGGAGATTCTGCGTTACCCGGTACAGAAGCTGACTTCTCAACCTTCCTTTCACTCAGCTCCTTAAGAGCTTTGATTGTGAGCTGTTCCTGTTCTAAGTCAAGAGATGCTGCTGGAGTACCTTGGGCAGGGAAAACATCCAGAACCGTACTTCCGTTAGTCTCTCTGCTTTGTTCAGGGTGTTTGCTTGTTACGCCTTTAATTTCAGAATCACCTGATTCAGTTTCAGGCAAGACTTCCAAAGCAAGAGTTGTTTTAAAGTCCGAAGTCTTCTCTGATGTTGCCTGAAAGGCATTTCCTGCACATTTATCTGCAATTCCTTCCTCTCTGGTTTCTGTAAAGGCTGCCATCAGGTCCTCTGGGGAAGAATCATCTGCATTTTTAACACTTTTTTCATGTACGGATTCCAAATAGGCAGACCTTGTCACACGTAGTGAGAATTCGCTCTCCTTAAGAACACTTGGAGACAGAACTGAAGGAAGTTTGGGCTTCTCAGTTGCAACAGGCTTTTCAGGAGCAACTTCGCTCACGCTGCCGGGCTGCTCCGCGTCTCCTGACGTGCCATTCGGATCAGGTACTTGGGAACTTGCCCCCTCCCCAGCGGCACTCCTTTCAAGACTATCAGGCTGAACTTGTGCTGCCTCAGAGCCACTGACTGGCCCTTCAGAGGTTTCACATGTTTTACTTTCCCTGCTGCAACTGCCAATCTCTTCGATTTCTCTTTCATCTCTTTTTACAATAGTGCTTGCAATGGAAACGGGTTTTTCAGCCTGAATTTTGTTACTTTCCAATGAAACGTTGGTCGGGACGTCCTCTATTACTGTGTCATCAGACTCACCAGAACTATCAGCCTCTGTGGCTTCTGCTATAGAGCTCTGCCAGTTCACTTCACCTTTTAGGTGGCCGTCAGGTAAGACCACTTTCACAGTGGCCACTCCAGAACCCAGAGAGACACCTTTCTCAAGAGGAGATCTAGGTAACTCCGGAAGCGTATTATCTTCTTTCTGCACATTGCCTCCCACGCCTTTGATACTGATTTCCTTTGCGGAATGGAGACAGTCTGGTATAGGTTTTTCAATGATAGCATTTTCTTGGGGGAGAGAGGTCGTTGCCCAGTCACTTGCTGATTTGATGGGAGTGCTCCCATTAATAGAACAAATGGGAAATTTCTGGTGAGCTTTAGTTTTAAGATTTACAACTGGGATTTCTGAATTATATTCACTCCTATCAAGTCCTGTAGTTTTTGTGATGTAATCAGATTTATTGCTCTCTTCTTTTGCTTGGGGAACCAAATCCCAAGTCAGTATTTCATTAGTAAAGTTATGTATATCATTCACACATCTAGACACTTCTTCCAGCGCTGCAGTTGTATGCGAAAACTGTCTAGTGAGCAATGCAGAAGTTGGGTAACGCCCTGCCTCTTTACTTCTCAGTGGAAATAATTTGTCATTAGACTCCAACAAAATGTCTGCAGACGATTCTTTATCAGTGTGCACCGCCCAGCTACCAAACTCATTTGTGCTCTCCTTATATGCATCTTTAAATTCTTTGTCAAATGCTTCTTTGTCAATAATTACTTCAAATGGTGACTCAGGGGAATCCTTTTCAGTAAGATCACCTCCTGAAACTTCAGATGGGGATAAGGAATATGTACAAATGCCTTGTGCCTTAGGCTCCTGGGTGAGTGGTTTCTGGGCTGTAGGCAAAGTGAACTTGTCATCAACATCCAAGCCAGTTTTATCATCTGTACCTGCTACCTCATTTGGGTTCTTGGACTCATGATCTTTATTTATTTGCTGTTCCATTAGACCAACTTCCTTTGAGAGAAAAGCAGGTCGATCTGGGAAACTGGCTGGAATGGAAGGACGGTTATACTCAACGCCTTCTGCAACAGAAACTGGGGAGTATGCTATGCCTTTATTGGTCCCTTGAGGCTTTTCCATTTTTTTCGCATCTAGGAGGGCCAAACAGTCTTTTCCTTCTTTGGCTAAAATAGGCTGGCTGCCTAACACATTGCTTTTTTCTCCATGTGGTATCTTAAGGTCAGTATTATGCATTTCAGAAGACGAAAAAAGGGAGGAAGTCATAATTTCTGAAGGTGGCTCATCAGAGCAAAGAGAGCTCAATCCCTCTATGGTCAGAATTTGAAAGAAAAAAGTTTGTTTACCAGGTACAATCACACATTAGCTAGTAAGGCCAAGCAGCATGCTTTTCATTTTCCAAGTTACATACACACAGGATGTACACACACACACACACAAAATATGTAACAAAACAACGATCAACAGTTGTCCTATAAAACATGCATAAAAAGTGCCAAGAGTGAAACAGAAAAGCTGTATCATGCTACAAATTGCAGATGACAAAAGATTTTCATGACAAATACTTTTCCGTCTACTTTTTCCATTGTAAAGGTAAAGCATAAAGAAATGTAATGAGATTGGGAAATCTGGGGAAGTTTCCCCCCCCCCTTTATTTGGTAGAGCTATTCAGTGTAATCAATACAAAACAACTTAATATTATGAAGTACTGGTATGTTCTCATCTGTAAGCTGCACATTTCAGTACACAGAGCTTCTACAAACCCACTGTTATAGTCTGACAGTTTGAGAAGGAAAAAAAAAGTGACCACTGTTCTTTATGATTCTCAGGAGATACAATGGATCCCCTCCTGAGCCTAAGAATCAGACTAGAATTACTCTACTCTACCCACAGGAAAAATTGGTCTCAGGTATAGACGGCCTCATTTTATTTATTTATTTTTATTTTTAAAAGATTTTATTTACTTATTTGACAGAGAGAGAGACAGCAAGAGAGGGAACACAAGCAGGGGGAGTGGGAGAGGGAGAAGCAGATTTTCCACCAAGCAGGGAGCCCAATGTGGGACTCGATCCCAGGGCCCTGGGATCATGACCTGAGCGGAAGGCAGACACTTAATGACTGAGCCATGCAGGGACCCCTAGACGGCCTCATTTTAAACTAAAGAGTATGAAATGATTGGTCTGCTCCAAAATCTCTTGCACCAACCTGACAATTTAACCAACACAAAACTGTGCAAACTGGTAAGGTTTATTCTGTGTTTAAGAAGAGTTAACCCCAGGGCACTAGGTGGCTCAGTTGGTTAAGTGACTGCCTTCGGCTCAGGTCATGACCCTGAAGTTCTGGGATGGAGCCCCATATTGGGCTCCCTGATCAGTGCGGAGCCTGCTTCTCCCTCTAACCCTGCCCCCTCTCACGCTCTCTCTCAAATAAATAAAATCTTAAAAATAAAAGAGTTAACACCAGAGATACTTTTAAAACAGGAAATATCCCTCTTAAAGTAATAGATTAATTAAATCTTATCAGTTATTAATACTACAGCAGCCAATGATTTATCGCGTTGTTTTCCAACTTTCCAATCTAGCAAGTTTTTTTTTTTTTTTAAAGATTTTATTTATTTATTTGACAGAGAGAGATCACAAGTAGACAGAGAGGCAGGCAGAGAGAGAGGGAAGCAGGCTCCCTGCTGAGCAGAGAGCCCGATGCGGGACTCGATCCCAGGACCCTGAGATCATGACCTGAGCCGAAGGCAGCGGCTTAACCCACTGAGCCACCCAGGCGCCCTCTAGCAAGTTTTTACTGAAGAAAAGATCAAGACTGTCCCAAGGGTAGTAAGTGCTGTTTTTCTTGCACATTGTTGTTATCTCTGGAGTCAGAACAAGTAGGTCTTAAATACATAGTTCCAAATGAGTGCATCAAAGATTCCGTCTGGTCAAATGAGACCTGAACAGGCTCAGGACAGCACAACGCTGAGTGTGAATGAGTGATTATGAATTTGTGAAAGAGAAAAACATATGGGATGACTTTTATTCAGCTTATGCTCATTTTCATGTGAGAAGCTGAATAACAGAAGCAAAATTGTGACTTTATTAAAAATCATTTTATAAGGCTGAAAAGAAATAAAAATGAAATATCTTACTCCAAAAAATAGAATTAACTATTATAAAAAATGTTTCCAAATGCCAGATAAAGTTCCTCTATTTCAACATATCACTGAAATTTCATGTAATAGGATCTGACCTTTAGAATAGTTTAACTATTGGGGCGCCTGGGTGGCTCAGTGGGTTAAAGCCTCTGCCTTCGGCTCAGGTCATGATCCCGGGGTCCTGGAATCGAGCCCCGCATCGGGCTCTCTGCTCAGCAGGGAGCTGCTTCCTCCTCTTTCTCTGCCTGCCTCTCTGCTTACTTGTGATCTCTGTCAAATAAATAAATAAAATCTTAAAAAAAAAAAAAAGAATAGTTTAACTATTGTCTGGGTATTGGGGGAAAAGGTCTTTGAAAATTGAGGAAAAATAGTTTGGTGGTACAAACTATACTAGTGGGACAGAAAATAACTGAAGCAAGCTGTAATTCACATTTACTCCTAATGGTAGTAAAGATGGTTTGCATCTATCAATATATAGTATGATATAGTATCATTATTTAGGACTCAGTAAAACCAGATTAAGGAGACAATATAAATGAAGCTCAGCATTATAGATTAAATTACAGATTAAAACCCTGAAATATTAGGGTGCCTGGGTGGCTCAGTGGGTTATGGGATTGAGCCCCGCATCAGGCTCCTTGCTCAGCCGGGAGCCTGCTTCCTCCTCTCTCTCTGCCTGCCTGTGATCTCTGCCTGTCAAATAAATAAAATAAAATCTTAAAAAAAAAAAACAAAAAACCTGAAATTTAAAAAGCTACATTTTTAGTAGTTCATTTATAGGCTACATTTAAATATGAAATATTCCATGATCTGAGCTATGTATTATTACTGAACTTACTGGTTACTGTTTCTACCAGGAAACGTTCAAGGGATTAAGTCTGGATTAAGGATTAAAGATTAAATCTGGATTAAAGATTAAAACTGTTTGGGAGCCCCTCCCTTCAAACATGAATGGAACTCTGACACGATCAACACTGACTCCCACCTTAGAGGGAACGCAAGGCTTATATGTTTTATAGAGACTAAGGTATCAGATGATTCAGACCAATCATCTTCTAGACAGAAGTGGACAAAATGAATTAGTAATAATTCTACAAATATTAGTGCCTATCATGTGCCAGACACTGCCTTAGAAACTAGATTAAAAGCAGTGAACAAAACAAAAGATCCCTTGTGTTTGTGGTGCTGTAAGAGCACCTGCACCCAGAGCAGGAGACAGATAAGGAGCAGAATCAGTGAGTACAATGATGATGATGATGATGATGTGGTGGTGGCAGTGATGGTGGACTGGAAGAAAGGAAAAAGGAAGCAACCTACCCTGAATGCTAACAGAAGAATGTGCTTATTACCAGGGGGGAAAAGCATGGTAGAACCCTTCTAACATGCTTTGTCAGGACACAAACTTGTCAGTTTTCCAAGCCTTGTTTCTCTCCTTTATTCCTTGAACTCTTTTTTTTTTCCCTTGAACTCTTAATAGTCCAGAAGTTTTAAGTTAGGTATATAATAATCTGAGGTAAAGCTAGAAGATTAGGTTAGAAATCTTATTCTCAGAATACCAGCAAGTTCTGCAATAAATAAAACTTATAACATTCTTTAACTCTTTAATATGATGTCACTATTATGCACACAAAAAAAACTTCAGTCATATTCCTAATAATAATTCTGTGACAATATATGGAGTGGATAGTGCTTTTGAGGGGGGACTAGCCTGGGGGCAAAAAGAGCTCAATGCTGCACTAATTCCTCTTAGACTGTGAGACACAGGTGTCAGCCCTCACCATTGTCAATCAAGCTTTCCCACGTGTAACAAAATAAGTTAGCATCCGCATCTGTGCTTCAACTTTAATTATCATGTTTAGAATTTCAGCAAATGAAAAGAAGTTTCTTTGGCTAGTTGAAGCCCTAACAAACTTGGACAGAGCTGACTTGTACCCAGACAATGGAAAAAACTGGGCTGGAAGTAAAGAGTTTATAAAGGCATGAAAACATTAAATAGAACGAGACCAGAATCTACTAAGCCTTTTCTAGAACAGCTCCCATAAGCAAAGACTCCTCCAATTAGTGAGTATGGCACCTAACAGTCATTGGTGTTGTCCAAGACTGCAAAACAGCAGAAAATGCCAGGGGTTCGAAGGTTGTTGGTTTTTACAATACCGTGTACGCTGTAGAACTGCCTGACAGAATGACTCTGAATCACCTTACATCTCAGAAAATGCCCATTCACTTTCCCTTTTCAAAAGATTCAACCCTTTACATGCACTACAAGAGACTTTCAACATTACTCAAAATCAATGTCTGTCAAAAAATTCCCTCATTATGAATATTTTCTAGTTTAGGTATTTGCTGTAATAGGATTTAATGTGCATATTCATTTTCAAGAATTCTAATTACTTAAAAATCTGGTATGGATCTATACACCTAATAGGTTTGTTTAAAAAGGGAATTATATATGATAAGAGGTGAAAAATGTCATAACCTGAGAATGTTCCCAAATTTATCCAGTACTGAGCTTCTTGCTTACCCGTATCTTCCTAAGCTCTAAATACTTATGTCTCCACTTAAGTGAAGTGTACTATTCAAAATAAGACTAGAAAACTAAGTTGGCAGTCTAAATTTCTAGACCGCTCCCACATCAAAAAATTCAAAATGCAAAATGTAAAATAGGGGCGCCTGGGTGGCTCAGTCATTAAGAGTCTGCCTTCGGGGGGCGCCTGGGTGGCTCAGTGGGTTAAGGCCTCTGCCTTCAGCTTAGATCATGATCTCAGGGTCCTGGGATCGAGCCCCGCATCGGGCTCTCTGCTCGGCGGGGAGCCTGCCTCCTCCTCTCTCTCTGCCTGCTTCTCTGCCTACTTGTGATCTCTGTCTGTCAAATAAATAAAATATTAAAAAAAAAAAAAAAAAGGAGTCTGCCTTCCGCTCAGGTCATGATCCCAGGGTCCTGGGGTCGAGCCCCGCATCAGGCTCCCTACTCAGCAGGAAGCCTGCTTCTCCCTCTCCCATTCCCTCTGCTTGTGTTCTCTCTCTTGTTGTGTCTCTGTCAAATAAATAAATAAAATCTAAAAAAAAAAAAAAAAAGATGCAAAATCATTTGATCAACACTTATTAATCATGTGGTCTTGACAAGTTGCTTAATCTCATCTAAAAAAACGGTGATACTAAAAAATCTAA